GTACTTTACCCCATTCGCTGAGGTCTGCTCTTTTCTCCAGTGTGTGCAGTCTGACGCGTCCTCTTTCCTGTTGCTCTCTCAGGATTAGTTGCGCCAACTATATTTTCTAATTGTATCCAGTTTTAGGAGGAAGCCTCTGTCTCTCCTCTTACGCCACCATCTTTAATCCAAATCCTCCAGGACTGTACATTTTTAATCCTTTTCTCTGTAGTCAGTGCTCTAATAATATTCCAGGAATCTTTTTGGCATTTCTGTCCTTAAGGTGGACTTCCTCTGTCTAGAAGTGGTCTTTTTTTTCCACGTACCTTTTATGTGCACTGTGTTTGCAATTTTCCCCATCCCTGCCACTCTCTTCAGTAGCTTTAAGAGAGTGCTCAGGGGATAGTGCTGCTGGAAGTTGGTGTTTACTTTTCTACTTACAGGATAATTTGAAGTTTGTGGTGTTCTCTCTATGCCAGTTACACTGCAACATTGGGATGTGTCATTCATTTTTTTCTCCTTGCTTATCTGTGTGTTGCCTTGGAGGATTTGAGGATTTGGGAAGCACTGATTCCTGAGCCTTTTTACTTAGCATTTAGTTTAACCTAGTGGTATAATTTTTTTAAATTAAGGTGTCATTGATATACAATCTTACAAAGGTTCCACATGAGAACATTGTGGTTTCAGCATTCACCCATATTATCAAGTACCCCCCCCCATTGCAGTCACTATTTATCAGTGTAGTAAGATCTATAGTCATTACTTGTCTTCTCCATGCTGTACTGCCTTCCCTGTTGACCTACCTGTATTGTGTGTGCTAATTATAATGCCCCCATAGTCCCCTTCTCCCTTCCTCCCCACCCACCCTTCCCAACCCCTTCCCTTTGGATGTCACTAGTCCTTTCTTGGAGTCTGTGAGTCTGCTGCTGTTTGTTCCTTCGGTTTTACTTTGTTGTTATACTCCCCTAGGGTGTAATTTAAAAGAATAAAATTAAAAACTAATTTATTAATATACAGAAGATCCTTTCACTCACATTTAATACACAAGATAATATATACCTATTTTTCTGTGTGTGTATATGTCTGTTTGTGAATTCTAGTGATTTTTGTATCTAGGCAGCAATGAAATAAAACAAGACTTTAACTTTCCTTCTGAAATATGAAAGTTCCTCAAAATGTTCAGAAATTAAGCCTTGACACTGTTCCTCATTATTTGGAGAGTGGTGTCTTTTGCATTATGATTGAATTTAGTCAGATATCCACTTGACTTTAGTCATTTCTTATAAATAGCTCTTTTTGTCTTTGCTGACTCTGCCATCTCTAGGAAGCACTGCTATAACTGAAATAATAGGAAAATTTTCATATTCTTTTAATATGATTTGAGAAGAGTTTTTTCTCTCATTTATAGGAATGTTATCTCTGGGATAAGAATACTGTTACTAACCTTAAAATCTCGGTTATCTTACACTGCTGCTTTTTATATAATAACAATTTTTTTAAAAAATAGCTCACATTTATTGAGATATTAATATTTATCAAAGGTAATGCTTTGCAAAAAGTTCATTAACCTCTCACTTTTTAAATGAAAATATTGATGCATAGGGTCATAAAGAAACTTGACCATTAATGGCAGAGCTGGATTTAAGCCCAGTGTGTCTAGTGCCAAAGCCCGTGACACATCATGAGTTTGACAGCTTCCCCTTCAGGCCCTGAGTGTATCTTTTCTTCAATTTGTATGCAACATGATGTGTATTTGCCTCATGTTTTATTGTTTGTAAAGTGCTAAATAAAAATTATCATTTAATCCATCAACACTTTGTCTACAGAATCTTCCAAGTCACCACTAATCACAAATTGTGGATGTGATTTAGTTATTTTTAGAAGACATGCAAAAGGGAAAAAACATGTAGTAATTGGAAAACTGAATAATTTACAGACCTATCATTTGGGGTGCTAAAGAAGAGAAAGAACTTATTAAAATTATACAAAGTACATTAAAAAGGGAATGTTTTCCTGTGAATTATAGAAAATGTTAATTTTATATAAATAAAATTTGTTAAAGGAGAATCAATAATTAAAAACAATACAAAATCAATAATTAAGAAAGGTATGCCCACATGGCTAATCTTTACACAACATTTTAACAGTCTTGAAAAGTTTAGACTAGCAATTGATGAGAAAGGGAGGAAATCTTGGTGTGAATCCAAAGGGTGCAAGTCAGTGTAAAGATACTTACTGTTAGCTGTTTTGTGAATTCCTCCCATTCAGTACTGAAAAGTACTTTCTAGTTTGAACAATGCCCATTTTAAATGCTGGGAGGTATGGTGACTCTTTTCTCTTGTTATCTTTAATTTTTTGCTAATCCTGCATTACCTTAAACAAGTCATGTGAAAATGTGGACTAAGCAGAAACTTAATCTTAATGGCAGGCTATCAGTCTTTTTTTCTTGAGGGATGAGGATTTAGTGTACCAGGAGAATGGAAGTTTGTGAGACGTCTTTGATGTTTTTATATGTCTAGTATTGTGTTACAGGTTTCAATTTAAAACACCCCATTAAGAAAGTTGGCATAAATTTTGCTTGGTTAGAAGAGGCATAAATATATGGCACTTACCTTATCTTCATTGTGTTTTAATGAGAGTGGATTGAATTGTGTGTGTGTGTGTGTGTGTGTGTGTGTGTGTGTGTGTGTGTGCGCACGTGAGAATTTCCCCTTTAGGCAATGGTAACCACTGTTATACTTAGATAGTTCTTTGCTCTTATTCCTGTTATTTGATGGTTCCACCCTCCCAACTGCTTTCAGTGGCAGGTGTTACAAAAAAAACATTTGACTTACAGTTAACCTTTTTTGTTAGAAATAGTTATTTTTCAATGAAAGCTTCAGTTAGGTACATTAATGATGCATTTTTTATGCAATAACCAGCCATATCTCCTGTTTTTCTTTTAATGTATTCAGAGGAAGCACTGAGTGCTAGTTACTTTTACATTTTTTTCTCGACAGGCTGCTCTGTACCGCCTCAGTGGAGACTGGAATCCCTTACATGTTGATCCTGACTTCGCTAGCTTAGCAGGTTAGTTGCTAATCATATGTACCAAAGAAAAATATTAGCTCAGTTACCTAAACAATACTTAAAAACATGGCTACTTTTGACTGGGAGTTTGAGTTCCCTTTCCTAACACATTTATGCAAAGGGTATGGAAAAGGAGGAAGTAGTTTTCAGAAAATGGTGTTGCAATTGAGGTTGTAGTGTAAGCTCCTGCTAGTGCAAGGTCTAATAAAGGGCCATGAGGATGCCTGTCTGAGTTACTTTGCAGAGTCAGGTCATTGGAGGGGAGAGGAAGGAACTGAAAGGTTAGGGAGGGATCGTCTGCATACAGAGGTGTTGGAATCATCCTGATTGAATCCATGGGTACCAGCAGAGCTAAACAAAACAATTCTTTGTGTTCTCGGTTCTCTAACTTCCTTTCTTATTTTTTTCTTCATTTGTTTATTTCATAATTTTCTCCCATGAAGTATTATTTATAAAATATTTTCCATGTTTCTTAAAGCAATGGTATAATTCAGGCTAAGGCAGTTTAGTGATGTATTTTGGAATCCTAAATTAATTACTGATTTTTACATATGAAATGTGTCTATATCTAACAAAATACTCTCTCTCCTTTTTTAGGCTTTGACAAACCCATATTACATGGCTTATGTACATTCGGATTTTCTGCCAGGCATATTTTAAGGCAGTTTGCAGATACCGATGTGTCAAGATTTAAGGCAATTAAGGTATATTATTGCAGATGTGAATGTCAGTTTCTTATTTTTAGAGAAGGAAAGGGATTTTAGTGACTTCATTTAAAATAAGTACTGTATTGAAGAAGTCTACATTTTCATTATTATCATTAACTTGGCAATCGGCATGTTTTCTTTTTGTAGCTATAAGTACCTCTGTTACACATGCATCATGAAGTATATCATATACAGTTATAATTTCAACAGATTGATTGGATTGTTTTACTTAGGGTATGTATATATCAGCCACATATGCCTTAACAAAGACTCGAGATTTACCTTAAAACATTTCCTTTGGACTGTTTCGTAATTTGCCTTAATTTAAATGAAAATGCTAAGTGGCTGCATTTGAACTATGATAAACATATACCTATATCAATACAATAGGTGCATACTGATGTCAGTTTTTGTGCTTTTAAGTTGGTTTCAAATTACAAAGAAAACTCTTTACACATAGTATCTTTGTGTAAGTCCAAAGATACACAATTAAAATAAAAGGTTTAAGACAGAGTCCCATAGCTTTGAAAGCTTTTATCAGTTTGTGTTCAATGCAGCAATGAAAATGCATTTTCTGATGCCTTGCCTTTGATAACACTGATTATTCTCGTTCTTTACATTTGATAACACTGATTATTCTCGTGCTTTACATTTTAACTATTTCTAGTATTATCTAATAATATGTACATAAGCAAATAAAGTAGTATAGAAAATTATGAAATGAAAAATGAAATGATTTTGTCTTATATGTCACCTCAGATCTTACTCCCCAAGTTTAATTAGTGCTACTTTTAACAGCTTCTATTAAGTTGTTCTGGTTGTTACCTCTATCTCTATTTAATGTGGTTATGCTTCTGTTTCTTGACCTGTCAAAATTAAACACTCTTTATTGACTCTATACTTTGAAAGATAAAGAACTAGCTTATACTAACTATATCCTTGCTCTGCTAATTTTCTGTCATTTTATTCCTTTATGAATCTGAATATATATGAATTTAAATATTAATATACTCAATCCTTAATGAAAGTAAATATAAATATATTGAAAACACTACCTTAAATATTTAAATATATTTAAATAAATATGAATTTATTATAATAATGTATATTATAATATATAATAATTTAATTAAATAAGTTGTCTATTTGATTCCTTTTTGCTCTCCAACCTCTCTCCCTATTTTTTCCCCCAGAAGTAGAAAAGTTTCATTTTAAACATTTTTAACCCCAAAACTCATTTTTTCAAAAGGTTCGTTTTGCAAAACCGGTATATCCAGGACAAACTCTACAAACTGAGATGTGGAAGGAAGGAAATAGAATCCATTTCCAAACCAAGGTATGAATAATGTAGGTAGAGGTGCTGTGTTTTGGTCCCCTCTTCACCATCCCCTATCATTATGTTCCATCTGGGCATCCTTTTGGTTAGAAGTACGGATATGAGATGAAACCTAGAAAGGTTTTTTGGTTTTTTTTTTCAATTAGTGGTGACTATTAGTCAAAAGTAAGTTAGTAATGTACATTGTATTTTATTTTCTGTTTTGTTCTCAACTTAATTGGTGCCTGTCTGTGGAGCAGTGACACAGCTATTGTGAAAACCCAAACAACAGTATATTTTTGGCTCAACCAGTCAAGTTGTCAAAATATAATTTTCAAAAAAATTAAAGGCATGGCACTCAGATATAAAATGAAAATATGACAAAAATTTATTCCTTAATGAGGGAGCTAGCAAGATGATAAAATTGGTTCAAAAGAGAAGTAGAATAATATTTATATAGTCTAACAGGAAAGGTATTCTTATAGTAATTTTGAATTAGAGACAAAACTAGTTAATGTCCTACAGAACAATAAAACCATATCATTTATGGCTATCTTTTCTACTGGATAGAAATGATATGCTTCTTGATCACACAAAAATCCACAAATTAACATCTGATGTCACAGAACCTGGGCCTAATTAATAGTAAATGACAAGGCTGAAGTATAGCTCCCTATAGAGTTAAGTAATTTTTGGATGAGGCTATTAGCAGCACTCCCGTAAAATACTGAAAGGACATGCAATCATCCTTTTATTTAAAATGTTTTTAAAGATAATTTTGTTAACACAGTTGACCAGGCTGATACTTTTCTGGCCTGATCATTTTGTACTATGTAGACAGTTTTTGTTGAACAGTTTAAACACCCTAATGATAGTAATAGCTTTCAGTTATTGACCTATAAGCTGGCTATGCCATTATCTTTCACACACATAATAACTATATTTAATAAAAGAAAATCTAGGTTCAGGTCTCCTGCTTATGGTCACACAGAAAGTGGTGGAGCTCGTTTAGAAACCTGGGTCTTCTGGCTCAAAGCTTAGGCTCAGAGCCCTAACTCTCTTCATTGTGTCATGATTTCTTTCATAAATAAATAACTTTGCAGAACTCTTCTTTATGTGGTGGCCTTATTCCCTTTTACTTCTAGCTGCTAGCTGTATCATTTTCCTGCTTTATTTATTCATACTATTTATTTCACTTTTCAAATTACTCCTGTCTTTAAGACTTCAGTTCGAGCTCTACTTGCCCTTAGAGGAGGTCCCTTGCTGCCTCCCTTTTCCCCATCCATATAAATGCTCATTCTGGCTTCCTCTGAAATCCTCTTGCAATTAATGTTTGTGCCACATAGCTATGGAGCTTTCCTATTTTCTAATTATTTCATGTAGGTTTTATTTTTGGGGTAAGATTATGAACTAAAAAATTAGTGTTAAGGACCATGACTGCATATAACAGGTTTCGATTTTTCCACAATTTTAGTAATGAAGAGTACAGAAATAATTTCTATGGATATAAACTTAAATGGTTAAGAAATAAGTTAATATGTAAATATAATACATTCTTGCCATTGGATTAATTTTAAGTGTGTCTTCTTGTCTTGTCAGTATATTTGCTACTTCCCCCTCAGTGAGTAGAGGTCCCTTTCTATCAGTTACATATAGGAATCCTTCTTTGCCTCCCTTTCTTTTCATCCTTCACATTGTATTTTGGGAAAAATTTTAAACTAATGTTGTGCTTGGCTTCATTACAGGAAAGTAATTTACTAAAGCGTATTTTGTTCATAATTGTCTCTTTCCATGATTTTCACTGTATATAATTTAAAATAAAATGAACTGTTTGAAAGATTATTTTTTCTGATGTATGATGAGAAGTAGTAGTCCAGGGAGAATGATCATCGTGATTGTTAAAAATCAGTTTTAGCAAGTGCTACCTTAATTTTAGATATTACCCTAACATTTTTAGCAATACCATAATTTTATGAAAGAATAGCCATTGGTATAATTTTAGATGAAGTATTAGGAATTAAAATTTGAGTTCCTTTAAAATTACCTTGATAAAAGTCTATTTAAGCAGTTAGCTTATGCTTTGTATACTTCCTCGTTGAAATAAGAAGTGGAATTATTACTTTAAAAAGACCTTTGTGGTCTATTCCTAGCCAATTTTATTTCATATTAACAGAACAAATATATTTCTGAGTACCACTACCTCATGTGGAGATTGTGCTCTGTCTCCTACTAGTTATAAGAATTCAGCAGTTCTCACTTTGGTTCTTCATTAGACACACTCATATATGCACATAAAAATCCCTTAAAACCAATGTCTATGCTCCACCCCAGGCCATTTCATTTGGGTTTTTAGAAGTCTAACTTGATCATATGTATTTTTTAAAAGGGCTCCAGTTGATTCTACGTTTAGGGTTAATAACAATGGCATTAAATCAGTAACCCTTCAGGTTTGTTCATCTGGATACCTAATTTATGAGCTATTTATTTAATTTGGATGATTTTCTTTTGAGGAAAAATACAAATTTATTTTAAGTGACTTTATATTGTTTCATGATGAAATTGTATTTTCATTGAAATTATTAGAGCAAACTGTTTTTTTTCCCTCTTTTATTCTTCATAAGATCCAGGAAACTGGAGACATTGTCATTTCAAATGCCTATGTGGATCTTGTGCCAACATCAGGTGTTTTAGCTAAGACACCCTCTGAGGTAGGTTATAAAAACTGGTATCTGGGTCATTCCTGATTTATGAATTTCAGTTATGATTACTTTAAGAATGTTAAACCTACTTTAGAAAATTAAGAGCTGTGAAAGATTCTTAATTCTTGAACTGAATGACATTAGTTCCAAGCTGCTTGGAATAAAAGGAATGTTTTGACAATTTTTTTATGAATTAAAAAAAAGCTTTTCTTAGAGGGGTTAGTGGGGTGTCTTTCAAGAGCAAATAATTTTCTAGTTTTAGAGTAACTAAACCTGTTGTTTAATGAGAAATCTTAAGCAAACAATCTTTTGGAGAAAAATATTAAAAAGTTAAATATCCTATACCTTTTCTTGATTTAAAGATGTATACAATGCTTTGCAATCAAAAATAAAAACAATAGCATGTATTATTTAATAAAACATTTGTGTTATTGTTTATTAACATGTGGAGACTTCAAATAAAAGTGTCTATATTCTGTCTCCAAAATACTAACTTTCTAATGTTGGGGTTTTCATATCCGTGATCTTTAATTGTCATAAGCCATATTATCACATAAATAGTATGAAGGTTAAAATCCCTTAAAAAGAATCTAAGATATAAACCTTAAGAAGTTTTAGAGCTAGAAAGAAATTCAGGCTCCATGTAATTTAGTCCCATTTTACAAATAAAGAAACAAGACCAGAGAAATTGATTGATTTGTCTGGGATCTTCTTGCTGAAGTTAGCTAGGACATTGGTTTTTCAGTTCCCAGTTTATTTTTGAAGTATTATTTCTGAATTCTGGTAGAAGTAAAATCCTCTCATTAAGAAGACTGAGATTCTGGATGATATGAATAAATAAAAGGAAAGTGGGAAAGAAGCCTGGTATGAAAAAAACTAGTTTGCCTTATTTATATGCAGAGTTTTGAAAAATCACTTTATTGCATATATACTTTGTGATCATTTTTTCTCTTGAGTCATTTTTGCAAAACTTGTAAAATTATATTTTCTCTTTTTGCTAGGGTGGAGAGCTTCAGAGCACCCTTATATTTGAGGAAATAGGTCGCCGCCTTAAGACTGTTGGGCACGAGATGGTAAAGAAAGTCAGTGGTGTGTTTGAGTGGCATATCACTAAAGGTGGAAATATTGGAGCTAAGTGGAGTAAGTCATTCTCCCTTACTTTATAATATATAGTAAGGTAACTCTTGGTAAATAGAGATAAAGTTATAATTAAAGCCTATCTTTTTGGAGATTAGCAGACCTACCTTTTTAGGTGAGTTGTCCTTCCTGGGCAGTGACAAGTTTCAGGACACTCAAAAACAGTGTGTTTAGAGATGTAGGGAATCAACTAAACTGAAAACATCTGTCCTAAATATTTCATTGTAATTCTTCAAAATAGTACTTTTAAACAGTCACCTGAGCTATAATGCTGCTTTAACTAATCTTCAGATTCCTCTCAAACATAAAGTAAGTTCATCAGGTCAAAGAAAGTATTTTTAAGTCATTATATTTTAACAGTTTAAAAATTTTCTTAATCCGAAAACAATAATAATTTGGATTATCACCTCAGTTATCAGATTGCTATTTAAAGGTGTCTATTTAAGTGCCTTGAAAATCTGTTTTATTCCTCACTACAACTAAACATCACTAAATGCTCACTTACGCCAAAATATTAAAGTGTATCACTAAATAAACTGAAACTTTTTGAAATAATCTTCTGTTGCATATTCCTAGAAAACATTTTGAATTGACTTTGAACCAATTGATTTTGGTTCAATATAAACAACTTTCTTTTTAATGTAACAGTTCCTGTTCCTCCATAGGCAGTGTATGTTCATTATATAAAATGTGGTATGTAATGTATAAAGAAGAAAATAATGATATATAATCTCATACCTACAGCTAACATTTTGATGTTCTTCTGGAAGACGTTTGTGCTTATAGGAAGGTAATTCAGAAGGGGGATAAAGGAAGGCAAAATGTAATATGTATTTAATCCCCCCAGATTCGAAGTGTCTAAATTTTTTCTAAATAACTGTAGATCAACTCTGTATTTGTAGGTGTCCTCACTTCCCTTTATTTCTCCTTTCTGTCCTTCCATCTTTCTTCTTTCTTCTTCTTCTGTTGTTTCCATGATGGAATTCAACTTTTTCCCAATGGATGAAAGTATATTAGAATTTGGGCTGTGAATATAAAGCACAGGACTTTTGAAGATACTGCTGAGGGAGAGGAATGAGATCTATGATGATGAGTGAGAAAAGGTGCTGGAACCGTGGACCAGAGTTGGCAGCAGAGAACTCTGTAGGGATTTATAAAGTCTACAGGTGATTTGCTCTTGGCAAATGGTCATTTTCTTCAATATAGTGTCAGTTTCCCTTATCTTGGTGATACTTTCCCTGTAGATAGTATTAGGAAGTATGCTTACATTTAAACATTACCTTTAATTAAAAGTATTAGAAAGTATGCTTACATTTAAAAATTACCTTTAATTAACCTAGGCAAAGGGCTTTTCCTTACATTTCTGCTAGAAAAATGGAAATATTGGAAATTATTTAATTACTTATTAATTACTGATGCCTTGTAGCTAAGCACTCTGGATTTTTGTCAAGTATGTGTGGCTTTTCCTTGACCCTAAATCAGGAGTGTGCCATACACACTTTGGGAGAGTGAAGTGATTATAGTGCCTTCCTTCAGTGTAGCGAGGGAAGCACGTTCAAGAGGCTGAAGGGGGACAGGTGGCATGGGGTTTCCTGGGTGACAGGTCCCACTCGTATGTGAGGCAGTTAGAACTTCCTAAAATGTAACTTTGGCATAAAGCTCAATAAATGTTAGATAGAGAGCAGTGAAGGTAATTTTAACCATGTTAGCCTGCCTGTTTCTGCAACATTTAATCCTTCTGACAAGAACAGTTAAGGAAAAAGTCAATTTCAATGTTTATTCAGAATTAGGGCATTAAATATTTTATAAATGATTCACAAGTGTAAAACACTAATTAGAATATATTTAAAAATAAATTTTCACTGTCTTCCTATCCAAATGACAGAACCTTTGGTGAGCTGACGTATTTGAAAGGTGACTAAATTGTGTATTCCTCTCCTATAACACAACCAGCGTGCAGTGGCTCAAGTTCAGCCTCCCTCCTTTGTAGTATCTTTATTTGAACCTTACCCATATGACCTCCAACAACCCAAATAACTTCCTTATATTATTCTACATTAATTCACATTTAAAGTATCTGTTGTTTAAACTTCTCATTGAGGAAAACTATTATTGATGTGACTGTTCTGAAGAACTTCTTTATGAAAAATAGAGGATTTTCTGAAGTTTTCTAAATGACAGATAATGTATAATATAGAATAAGTACCACAGTAACTTGGAAACTATAAAAGTGTCTGCATTTTGGTTGGTTGATTTTACTCTTATACTTGGAAGAAAAAAATAATACACACTGGCTTCTATTTTTCCTAGCTATTGACCTGAAAAATGATTCTGGAAAAGTGTATCAGGGCCCTGCAAAAGGCTCTGCTGATACAACCTTCATACTTTCGGATGAAGATTTCATGGAGGTAGTCTTGGGCAAGCTCGACCCTCAGAAGGTAAAGTTCTTAAATATTCATTTATTCATGATTGACAGTTGCAGTTTTTTAGCTGACTCTCAAATTCTCGTTTGTCAGACAGATTCCTTACAACTCTGAAGAAGGCAACAGTTGATGCCAGTATCTGGATTAACAAATCATACGTTTTTTAAATAGAATTTCAACTGATACTTAAAAACTTAGTTTTGGGGTGAAATTCTTATTCAGCATAAAGTAAAATAACCTAGACTTTTTATATATATGACATTAGTTCAAAGGTGAAAAGCCATTTTTTTGTAGATATTTCATAAAATTAGACATTCATTCCTGATATGTTAGATTAAGAACTTGTCTTAATTGTCACTGAAAACTAGAAACAGATAGATGGGGCGTAACAGCCAGTGACTTTTTAAGGTGAGACATTTAGAGGCATTTCAGTGGAAAATCATGATTACAACAAGAGTGTCCTCTCTTGCCATCATTAGTTAATACAGTTCTGAAACTTCTGAACAATCCACAAACACATAAAATTAAAGTACCTGATGTAGCAAGTAGCATGGGTGGAGGGTGGGGGGGTGGTGGAATTTGTTACTTTCGAGTTATGATTATGTAACTAGAAATGCTAAGTAAATCACTTGATTGATTCTCAGAATTAATGAGTTCAAACAAGTGGTTATGTTCACAGTAATTATTAAAAAATAGCTGTTACATAGCAGCAAAACCAACTAGAAGATATAGTTGAAAAAAATTTGTTTATAATCATAACTCAAACTTTAAACAACAGTGACTACCCTATCAAGAAAAGCACAGTGCTTATTTGAAGAAAACTAATGAGTTTATAAGGAACAAAACAATTTGAATAAAGAGAAAATGTACAGTTTCCTGGGTAGAAAGACTGATTTATAAAGGATTGTGAAGTAGTATAGTGGTTACAGATATGCTCATTGGCATCAGATAAATACAAGTTTGAATCTTAGCTCTGCCACCTACTCTGTGAATCTCAATTTTCTCATTGGTTAAATGAATATAATAATTAAAATTGTCCCAAAGGATTATTAATTATGATAACTTAATACAATAATATGTGTGAAGTGCTTAGTATGGTGCTCGATACCTCATGAACCCTCCGGTATTTAGTTCGAAGTGTGGCTGAACAACACAGTGCCCCTACTCCATGGAGCTTAGTTCTAGAGGGGAATGAATGGAAAAGAAATACAATTTTAGGTAAGGCAGAGTAATGGGTTAGGCCACTTGTTGGCAAACCTTTTCTGTAAGGGGTGACAAAGTAAATATTCTCAGCTTTGCAGGCCAGATGGTCTCTGTTGCACCTCCTCAGTTCTTTTTTCACTGTAGAGGTAAAGTAGCCAAGGTAATATGTAAACTAATAGATGTGGCTGTGTTCTAGTAAAGCCTAATTTATGAAAACAGATATCAGACTAACTTTGTCCACCGGCAATAGTTTGCCACCTCCTGGATGAGGGTGTGACAGGATTGAGGAACTGTTCTCTATAGGATTGTGGGGAAAGGCCTGAAAGAGCTGAACTAAGTGAGGAAGGAGGCAGAAGGCTAAGGAAACAAGCAGTGCAAAGGCCTGAGGCAGGAGTGGCTGGGCTGGTTGGAGGAGGCTAGTGAAGCGGACAGCAGGGAGTGTGGGGGAGGTGAGGGGAAGAGGTAGGAAAGGCTGCACTGCACAGGCCTGGACGATCTTGGCAACAAGTTGGGATCTTCTGTGTGATAGGAGGCCCTTGAGCTGTGGAAGGACAGCGTCTGATTTTTAAAGGCCATTCTGGTTGCTGAGTAGAAAATTGATTTGGGGGCAGAGTGGATAACTAATGAAGAGTTTATTTTTTAGATATATTTGAGATGCCTATGTATAAATATTAAATGTGAGATTAGGGAAACATTTATGTAATTGCCAGGAATATCAGGCCTTTGTGGGTGAATGGATTCTGGGCGGTTGCGTGGGCAATGGTAGAGTATTACATCATTTTGTATGCTTAAATCAGTACCATACAGAATGGAATTAAGTGTAAAAAATGAAAGCAAAAGTAAAAACTTAATAAAAACCTAGGCTCAAATAGTCTGTAGGCACCATCTAGGAATCTTACTGTGATTTCCACACCTCTTGTCTGAGATGACTGTTCCATCCTTGTCTTCTCTAAACTCCTACACCCCTGCTTCTGTTTCATTTTCCACTGATGGCCTTTCTTCATGCTTCACTGAAAAAAAAAAGGCTTCAGATGAAAGCTTTCACCTTCCCAGCCCCAGGTCTGTTCTCCCAGCATCTGCACCAGTCTTAAAGGAAGTCTCCCTCTTCCTGCCAGAGACCCAGAGACTGTTCCTTCCCTTCTGTTCTGGGTATCTACCCAGCGCCATTGTTGCTTCTTCCCTCTCTTTGGCGCATCGGTCTCTTCCATTCCCCTACGTAATTGTCCCTCAGTACATAGGCAAGCTGACATCTTGATTTTAAAGCCGACACCCTCTTTTGATATCAGATCTCCATCCAGCAAGCCATATCATTTTTCTTCTGCTTTTCACAAAAGAATTAGTTAAACCATCACTGTCCAGTACATGTAATGTGAGCTGCATATGTAATAAAAACTTTCCTAGCAGCCACATTAAAAAATTAAAAAGAAATATGTGGAATTAATTTTAACAATGAATTGTATATAACCCCATATATTCAATTAGCATTTTGACATGTAATCAGTGTAAAAAATATTAATGAGTTATTTTTTGTCTTTTTTTTAATACTGAGTGCAGTGTCTGCTTCACACGTACAGTGCCGCTCAGCCAGGAGTAACCATATTTCAGGGGCTCAGAATCCACGTGCCCGTGGCTGCTTGTTGGGCAGCACAGGAAGAAACATTCTGTGTTGATTTTGCTCTTCCACTGCCTCTTAGGTGACTTCCATAGCTACCACTCAAGATACTGTCCTTGTGAAGGTCACGGCCAACTTCTGTTTTGTCGAATCCAATAAATATTTTTCTGCCTCACCTTACTTGACCTTTGGTAGCATTCAGTTCAGTTAACCACCAACAAACTTCTTGAAATAACTTCATCCCTTGGCTTCATGACCCCACATTCTCCTGTTTGCCATCTCGGCCTTTGGGTATTCCTGATCTCCTTTGGGGTCATCTTCTACCTCCAACCATTAAATTTTGGTGTTTCTCAGGCTCATTTCTATGCTCTCTTCTCTAAATAACATTCTTTTTCTAAAAGAGTTCATCCATTCCTTGGTGTTTAAAACTGTCTATATGTTGGCATCTCACAGATTGAAATGTCTCAGTTGGTGGTTTTCTCTGAGTTCCATAGTAAAATAAGCAAATTTGTACTTGACCTCTCTAATGGGAAATCTTACTGGCATTTCAAGCTTACTGTTTCCATTACAGAACACATGATTTAGCTCCTTACCCTAGTCTTTTCCTTCCTAGTAAATGGCGCCATTCCACCTACCAAAATTAATATGCACAGTAATGTAACAATTGTGTTGGCTTCCTTCTGTGCCTTTGTATTCTTTGTGTCCTTAATCCTGTCTGATCATTCTCCAAAATGTATTGTGAATTCATCCGTCACTGGGGATGCCACTGTGGTCCAAGCCTGTGTCCCTCACCTGGCTGACTGCACCAGCTTCCTGGTTGGTGTTCCTGCTTCCTGCCTTGCCACTCCAGCCATCTGTTCTCCGCAAAGGCATCACAGTAACCCTTTAAAAATGTAAATCAGATTATAGGTCATTCACCTGATAAAAACCTCCAAGATTTCCTTTTGCACTTGGATACAATCCAGACTACCTATTGTCATGTCATGTGATGTTTTCCTTACTCAGCTTTCTAGCTTTGTCCTACACTGCTTGCCTCATTTCTTATAATGCTAATTGTATTTACATTGTCTTTCCTCTCAGATACTTCCCATCAGCTTTTCCTCCTTCAGTGTGTATGCGTTTGTCCTTTCTGAAATTTCTACCTCCAGTTTTTTGCTTGGCTGGCTTTATTGCTTCCAAAGTAGTTCCTTCCTGTTACAGTGTCTAACAGCATGTCTTCATAGCACTTTAATTACTTGTTTATATTCTACTTTTTGTCTTTCCTTTACCGTAATGTTAGCTTCATGAGAACCACAAGAGAGATGTCCATTTTCTAGCCTAGAATATTGCCTAGTATACTGTAGACACTCAATTGATGTATGAGTAGATTAAAGAAAGCAAGGATAGAAATAAAGAACATCAGCTCAATAGCAGTAGTTCAGGCTATGTAGAAATTAAAAACAACTTCTGTATTTTAGACTCATGAGATTTTCCCATAAACCTAGAGGAAAATATAAAGAAGATGATTGGCAGTATATTGGTATCAATAACCTATATAAAGTTCTGAAAGGCACTAAGTCCTTGATAGAAAAGATGGGGAAAAGATATGGACCAGTAATAAATGAAAGAAGTAGAAATGACTAACATACATAAGAATAACTATTAATGTTTCCAGTATCCACAAAATGCAAATTAAAACATGTCATTTTTGCCTCATATATTCTAAGACTAAGAGAAGGGGATTGTTAAAGCTGGGGTAAGAGAATTCTCATGTAGCTGGAGGGAATATGTATTTGGTGAAGGCTGGAAAGCACCATGGCAGAGGTTCACGGACCTTCTTCTCTCACGGCAACTGACGGCCTCGGCACTTTGTGCTCAGCACTCCTCGGACAAGAGAAATGACTAGTGGTTCAGTTTATTCAGTAGTTAGGTCCAAACAAGTAGTTTTTCATGTTGTGCTTGATTGAGGCCACTTTATTTCCCTCCCACATTTAAAATACTCACTAGTGTCCTGGCGAGTCTGTTATGATGCCGCAGCACATCGTGGTGCAGTTTGGAAATGGGTGGTGTGGAAGCATGGCTGGGAATCTTATTTAAGAAATGTCATGATTTAGTAATTCTTCTGCTGGGAATCTAAGCCCAAGGAAGTAGATAGGAACAAAGATTTATGTACAGGGTTCGTCCGCTCAATAGCAACCATCAAATGCTGGTATAAGTCCTTCAGAGGATTCGGTTCTCATCTTAGGTTGTAGGTCCCTCTCAGACTTCAGTACCTACAGCAGGTCTCATCTGTGGGAGTCACTGACCATCGTTTCTGTAACTGCCCAGTGAAAGCAGTCTTAGTTTTGAAATTCCAGTCTCCTACTTCAATACCTAGCCCTTGATCCTGATTTGGAATGCGTTATGCCTTCCTTTGTGGGGTAAAAAGTTTTAAATAGTTTTTGCCATTCCTCCAGTTGAGGACTTGTTGTTGCTAGCTGATAAACAGGTGACAGTGTGGAGCAAAAAACACCTGACTTCAAGTCCTAGCCATACTTTCTGCTGGCTCTTTGGCATAGAGCAGGTTAAGTTCTCTGAAGGTCAGTTTTGTCATCTGTCCAATGCGTAAGATTGCTGATGTGCCCATTTCAAGTTGATGGCTGTACTTTTCATGTGACATAGTATCTGTAGGGCTGCTTTGTAATGTTAAGTATACATGGATATTACTGTTTTTTCCATCTAGCTTAAAATCTAGGGACTTCTTTTTCAGTTTATATTCCAAATATTATTTTCTCAATAAGCTATGAAAACTGATGTGTTATTTTTATTTTACTGAGTGGGAACAACACTGAGCAAGAATTTAAGCAGCTTGTACAAGTGTCTACATCAGGTCAGATACAGAGATGGTTCAGGAAATCTCAGTGTTTTCACATACCAGCCTTTTGGTTGCTACTAATGATGAGCTTAATACTCTAATTACATGTCAACTGCTAAGCTAAGCACTTCACACCCTATTCCGTTTGACTCACACGCCAAAGCTGGGCTATTTAGGTCCTGTTGGTGTGCGCTTTACAGAGGATCCCAGGGCTCACAAAGGCGCAGTGATCTGCCCAAGCTCACCTTGTTAGTAAGTAGCAGAGCCTAGATTTTAACCCTGGCATTTTGATGCTACAGCCCAGGATCTGTTCACCACTTTGTTACACTAATTTTGTCATTCTATGGCTTTCTACTTATGAAGTATGTAATTAATATTTTTAATCCTCTTCTAAAAGTTCTGAGTTGAATTTTTTTTTCTGAGTTGAATATTTTTATTGTTAGTACAGTATAAGATTTTATTTATGGTCTCAAACTCGCCTTTAAGACATAGATTAAGGACAGAGTATATAGGTTGAAGCAGAACTCCCAGATCTGTCAATTCAGATAAATTATTCTGTGGTTTTTTTACAGTACACAAGGGGTCTTTTTATTTTCTTAGCTATCTGAAAACATGGGTGCTGTCTCTATTGAACTTGCATTGCTTGATAACAGTTGCCTTTGTCGTCCAGAGTTATTAGCTCAGTTGTATTCATTCTTAATAAGTTTTTTAAAAAACGAAATAAAATGAACGTGGTAAAGGTTGGTGCTGTTTTTCTCCCCTCTCCTTTGCAGGCATTCTTTAGTGGCAGACTGAAGGCCAGAGGGAACATCATGCTGAGCCAGAAGCTTCAGATGATTCTGAAAGAGCATGCCAAGCTCTGAAGGACACACATTATTAATAAAAAGAGAAAAATACTCTCGTCACCCAAATATGTGAAAGTGATCAAAACTAAGATGTAGGGAAATTGCTTCGCATTTCCAGATGTCAGATAATTTTGCAGATTTTCATACTGTACTAATTTTTCACATTATCTTTATTTTTACAAGGAACTGTAAGCTGGCACATAATTATCTTTCTGCTTCTTAGATCTCTATCTTCATAATATAAAATTTTCACCCAGGACCAGTCTCTTTAGACTTGTGACAGCATTTGTAAATTAAAAGGAAAATTAAATGGGTAAAGGCTACTTGGATCCTTTGGTTTTCTATTTTCTGTTCTCTAACTTATTGATACCCCAGTTTTAACATGAATTTTCTTCAATGTGTTCATTTTTCACACTTTGCTCTAACGGTGTTCTGCTTTAAGGCAAGGGCAAGGTATTTGTGGTCCCAGGTAGTTTTTGTTCTTCTGCCCTCACTTTTGCTGGAGTTCTTTACCTTCATTCATACAGGCAAGTGAACTGAATACATAGCTTTCTCACTTAATCAGAAATCTTTCATCATAAAGGTGTCACAAACAAGTACTGTCGTATTATTACTGTTCTCCCCAACATTTAGGTCAGATGGTTGGTGAGGAGGTGCTCTTCTGATGGTTTGGCTGCAGACGTGAGCAGCACTTGGGGTGCTGGGGTCAGCGATGGTTGGAGTTTCATATTCACATTCATGTGCGCCTGGTGGGTGTCACAGACTGAGTTCCCTGGGAAGCCGACTTTGAGATACATGGGCAGGAAGTGGAGCTGGAAATGTTCCTAGGATCTGTCTTTTGGATTGTGGTGAGCAAAGGAAACTGGTATGGGAAGAGGGAGAAGTTAGGCCAGTGCAGTTGCCACAAGACCTCAGCCAGTCCTTTGGGGGGCACTGTGGCTGGGATGGCCCTTCAGAATTGTCCTGAGCTCCCGAGTCATTGATTATGGCCTACCGTGCAAAGGGGCATGATGATGGGCCGCACAGCAGAGCAATTCCTGAAGTGTACTGATAGCTGATAATTTCCCAGCAGCTGAGGGAATGTGTCTTCAGTCCAGAATAGGGCTTCTGGGATTGTGGCACAGGAGCTTTACTTCAAGGAACAAGAGTGAGGAAACTGGAGATTAAGGGTCAGGGAGAAGGTCTCAGAAATTTGGCATTGTACTGTTTAGCACAATGATAGAACATAGTAGAGGACCTCAATATATTACTGTTAATTTAATGAATGAGCAGGATATGTAGAAGGCATAGAAGAAAACTTAGTTATTTGGCAATTATGCCTTAGTCTCATGGTGTCATAAAACCAACTTTAGTTCAGAATGAGCCACTCTTCTGACAAACTGAATCTTCTTCCTGGGTGTTTTCATTTACTGCCCTACCTTCAGCCGTCTCCTGAGTGCTGTTAACAGTCTGTGTCTTCAGCTCTGCTCTCTCCCTATTCCATACTTCCACCCACAGTTCCAAATCATTAGGAGGCTGTTGTCCTGAGTTACTGCAGATGCATCTCCAAAGTAAGTGTGATCTTCCTTCTCACCCCTAAATCTGCTCCTACTCTTATTGTCTTAGTTAAGAACATCACCTTTTACTGAGTTAAACTAAGAAACCAGAGTCATCTTTGATTTTCCTCTGCCTATACTCCACACCCAATCCTTCACCAGCTCGTCACTTGTATTTCCTGAATATTTAAGGGTTTCACTCTCGGCTGATACTACCCTAGTGGGCCCTCCTACCTAATAGTTCCTTTTTGTGGCTTTCCAACCGGTCTCGTCTCTCACCATCCGCCTTTGCCCACCAGAGGGGCATTGCTCAAACACACCTCTGAACATGGGACTTCCCAGCTTAGAAACCTGTGACGGTTCCAACTTGGTCATCTTACTCTCAGGCTCTGGCATGGTTCAAGGTTACATCAGTGGGATTCTTTCAGTGGCAAGTAATAAAACCAGTTCAAATTGGTATAACAAAACTTTTCCACAGTAACAGAAAAATCTAAAAGGGTAGGACTGGCTTTGAAGGAACTTGATCAAACAATTCAGTATATCTAGGCCCAAGTCCTTGCCCTCTCTCTGCCTGTTTTATCCACAGACTCCATGTGGTACCCTCCCCCGGGCAGCTCCAAGCTCTTCCTGTTTGGTCACAAGAAGGCAGCCAGCAGGTGCAGCCTCATCTCAGGTCAGCCAGCAGAAGAAAGCACTGGGGTCTGTAAAGAGCCTCAGCAAAGGCCTCCTCTGACTCACTGACTGACTGGTTATAAATCAATCCCTGAATCTGTCACTAGCTAGAGATGTTGTTGGCTATGCTGATTGGCCTGCGTTTCAGGGCCCGTACATGTAGCTAAGGATCTCCAAGATGTCTCCTGGTTTTAGTGATTTGCCAGGACTCATGGGGCTTAACATACAGTCATACTCATGACTATAATTTATTACATCAAAACAATACAAACAAAATCAGAAAAAGGAAAGGCTGCATGGAATGAAGGCCGGAAGAAACAAGCTTTCACACAATCTTTTCCTGTAGACTTACACAGGACACGTTTAATTGCCCCAGCATCAAATTGTGACAACACATGTGAAATGTCCACCAGGACTCAGGATCCAGGATTTTAATTGAGAGGCTGGTCACATAGCTGCTTCTGACAGAGAACATGCCAGAATTCCAGACTCCTTGAAGGGAAGCAGGCATGTAGCATAAACCACATGATTTGCACTGTTGGGCATAGGGTATCACTCAGAATTCTCTGCAAGGAAAGGGTAGGGTCATTCTGGAATCCAAGCTCCCAGATGTCAGCCAAGGGCCAACCTTGCAAGCCAGCCTCTCTAAGGGCTGCAGTCTCGTGCCTGCCATGTCAGTTCTCTTCTACATAAATAGGATCAGCTTCGTCCAAACTTCTTGGCTGGAGAGCAGATTGGGGGTGGTATCAGAATAGATGAGGGGGAGCCAGATTCCTATGTCCTCCCCAAAGGCTCTTCTGTTCTCCTAAACTGCTTTTTTACCTCATTAGCTGGTTATAACCTCTATATCCGTAGGCCTCCCAAGTGTGTTGCCCGTGTGAAGCTGTTTTAACACTGGTGGACAGTCTCTGACCGCTCATGGGATTTTGTATATATTTTTTAAAGCAAACAATCTGAGAAAGATTATCTATAGATTGTAGAGAAATAGATTCCAATAATCATTTAACAAAAATACTACCCCAACACTAACTTGATCCTTTAAAAGGTCAACAATTATAGCAGAAAAGCTGATAATCCAGTTCTACCTAGAAAGTACTAAATTGAGGAACCTTAAGCACTGAAAGTTGTGGAAAGTCATTTTCTGAAGAGCAAAACTTAGGTCACTGTGGACTAAGCTATTTTAGAGGGGAGAGGAAAGAAAACCTAACCCCATAAATAGGCAAAATAGGAAAATTACAGACATTGGCTAAAAATGAATCTAGATTCGTATTATACATACATGCAATATAGTGGCTGAAGTTACCTAGTAAGTGACATCTGGATACCAGGGTTATCAAAGCTTAAAAAATAAAGATACTTGAGACAGTAAAAGGTTGAGGCACTAAAATTCAAAATGTACTCAACTAAGAGCTGTTTATAGCCTTATCCAGAATTTGTTTTTAGTTGTAGTTGATATACAACATCCATTGGTTTCAAAGTATACAACATAGTGATTCAACAGGTATATAATATTAAATGCTCACTCCAATTAGAGTAGTTACAGTATATCAACATTGAAAGATGTTACAGAACTATTGACTGTATTTTCTATGCTGTACTTTTCATCCCTGTGACTAATTTATATTGTAACTGAGATTTTGTGCCTCTTTATCCCCTTCACCTATTTTAGCCACCCACCCAAACCCTCCCCCATGGTAACCACCATTTCATAATATAAAATTTTCACCCAGGACCAGTCTCTTTAGACTTGTGACAGCATTTGTAAATTAAAAGGAAAATTAAATGGGTAAAGGCTACTTGGATCCTTTGGTTTTCTATTTTCTGTTCTCTAACTTATTGATACCCCAGTTTTAACATGAATTTTCTTCAATGTGTTCATTTTTCACACTTTGCTCTAACGGTGTTCTGCTTTAAGGCAAGGGCAAGGTATTTGTGGTCCCAGGTAGTTTTTGTTCTTCTGCCCTCACTTTTGCTGGAGTTCTTTACCTTCATTCATACAGGCAAGTGAACTGAATACATAGCTTTCTCACTTAATCAGAAATCTTTCATCATAAAGGTGTCACAAACAAGTACTGTCGTATTATTACTGTTCTCCCCAACATTTAGGTCAGATGGTTGGTGAGGAGGTGCTCTTCTGATGGTTTGGCTGCAGACGTGAGCAGCACTTGGGGTGCTGGGGTCAGCGATGGTTGGAGTTTCATATTCACATTCATGTGCGCCTGGTGGGTGTCACAGACTGAGTTCCCTGGGAAGCCGACTTTGAGATACATGGGCAGGAAGTGGAGCTGGAAATGTTCCTAGGATCTGTCTTTTGGATTGTGGTGAGCAAAGGAAACTGGTATGGGAAGAGGGAGAAGTTAGGCCAGTGCAGTTGCCACAAGACCTCAGCCAGTCCTTTGGGGGGCACTGTGGCTGGGATGGCCCTTCAGAATTGTCCTGAGCTCCCGAGTCATTGATTATGGCCTACCATGCAAAGGGGCATGATGATGGGCCGCACAGCAGAGCAATTCCTGAAGTGTACTGATAGTCAGCTGATAATTTCCCAGCAGCTGAGGGAATGTGTCTTCAGTCCAGAATAGGGCTTCTGGGATTGTGGCACAGGAGCTTTACTTCAAGGAACAAGAGTGAGGAAACTGGAGATTAAGGGTCAGGGAGAAGGTCTCAGAAATTTGGCATTGTACTGTTTAGCACAATGATAGAACATAGTAGAGGACCTCAATATATTACTGTTAATTTAATGAATGAGCAGGATATGTAGAAGGCATAGAAGAAAACTTAGTTATTTGGCAATTATGCCTTAGTCTCATGGTGTCATAAAACCAACTTTAGTTCAGAATGAGCCACTCTTCTGACAAACTGAATCTTCTTCCTGGGTGTTTTCATTTACTGCCCTACCTTCAGCCGTCTCCTGAGTGCTGTTAACAGTCTGTGTCTTCAGCTCTGCTCTCTCCCTATTCCATACTTCCACCCACAGTTCCAAATCATTAGGAGGCTGTTGTCCTGAGTTACTGCAGATGCATCTCCAAAGTAAGTGTGATCTTCCTTCTCACCCCTAAATCTGCTCCTACTCTTATTGTCTTAGTTAAGAACATCACCTTTTACTGAGTTAAACTAAGAAACCA